GATCAGGATCAAACTCTGCCCGATCTAAAAAATTCTCGCACAACTGGAGAATCGGCCCAAAAAGGGCTAGAATTCGTACAGTATATGCCTGGCTTTAGGAACAGAAACAAGGAGACACTTGGGAGGAACACAGATAGCAATGTAGGGAATCCAGCAAACGGGAACTGAACTGTAGGTGTATATATGGGAGAAAGAAACAATGAATGGGCTTATCAGCTGATGGGGAGCAGGTGTGGACAGGAGCAAACAAAAAGGAGCTATGGAGAAAGAAAAGGGGCACTAGGGGGCAACAAAGGATAACCAGAGAAAACAACTCGATCCTACTGTAACTAGGACAGAACTTAAATGAAGCTCAAGTTAAATAAAAGTAATGACTACAACTAAAACTAGAACAAAGAATAAATAATACCAAAATGCTGAAAAGAGAGAACTGAAAGGAATAACAAGCGAGAGTAAAACTAAGAATTCAAAAATCATAGAAATCTTCAAAAACACAGAATAACTTGAAAGAAAGCACAACTAAGAACCCAAAAAGAAAACTTAAACAAAACCAAAGAATCCAGATAGGACAGAACAAATGACATGAGTCCAATTGTGGGAGACTCTACCCACCTCTGATGGTTCGGTTTGGTGGGAATTAATTTCAAAATCTGAATTCTGCAAGCTAATGGAGCATCAGCTTCAGTGATGGACTAAAAACGATGGAACTGTCTTCTCTGACCCGTGCCTCTCCTCCTCTTGGCAGATTCTGGCCCTGGTGTTCTCCATGCAGATGTATTGTCAAATTCTTCATGCTGAGAAGAACATGGACTGACAGCGGGTTACCGGCTAACATGCACCAGATTCTTAAACGCTGAGGGGGAAACCTGCAGCCACTATACAGGGTTCCATGAAATGAGAACAGTTTAAATGTAAAGATGTCGTTAAAATGCTCTGAAGTGACCGATGAAACGGTCCAGAAATAATTGATGTGTTTTTTTATTTCTTTATATCACGTTGGTTTGTACATTTATATTTTCCAGCAAAATGAATGCATGAATCTGAACTGGATTAGTTAATTGTAAATACTAACAACACTGTTATGTTTCATTCTTCATCATGTGTTCAGATCCCTGATTAGTTGACATGTAATCATCTCACATCTCTCTCATAACACCGTCTATAGTTTAAGGCGGAGGTCTTCAACGGGGGTCCACGACCCCTAGGGGGTCCACGGAGGTACTGCATGGGCGGTCGCAAAAGTTTTGGTTAATTAGACTTTTTTTTATTCCCCCCTGCAATTTTTTCCACTAATTAAAAAGTCTTTAAATACACATTAACATAAATTCAAAACACTGTAGTAAAGAGATAAATGGAGGCAGACGATGTCTTTCAGTCATCAATGCACACATTCAGGAGCTCTTTCAAGCTGGGCACCTTTTCATTCACAAAGAGGAATCGAATCAGAAATACTTTAATAATCTCAGGGTGAAATTACTTTATTTAAATTACTCCATCTGTAATAGAGCGACCAGTTTGATAGAACACAATTTCATAGAATATATATATAATTAGGGGGTCCCCGCTCCATCTCGCCATCAGTTTAGGGGTCCTTGGCCTGGAAAACGTTGGAGACCCCTGGCTTAAGGGACAACCATACTGTTTCTGGGTTTTTTTATTTTCTAGTCTCTGCTGCTTCATGCTTACGATCCTGTGGACTGATTTGCTAAAAAAAAAAAAGAAAAAAGAAAAAGCTTGTTTAAGTGGTTCTTTAATAGTAAGCTATCTATACAAACTGACAGTGTTATTTTGCTTAAGTGTTTTAGATTAGTAACAGTGTTTGTGTTCAAATCAATCAGATTTGCTCTCATTAGAGACTCTGGCTTCTCTTCATCGGGTCACCTCACTGCGTATTATTCTGCATTCTGTTCCAACTTGTTGCAGGTTAAAGGGATACGCCATTAGTTTCAATAATAGACTTTATTTTAAAAGTATTTAATTAAATACAGTTCATTATAAACTCTGTAAGCTGCTCAATTTTAATAAATTTAAATAAAATATAATAAGCTGGATGTCATCATGTTGTTTATGCTGCAATGCATTCTGGGTAAATGACATATGCTAGGTAGTGCTAGCTCCGTCCAGCCAAAACAGCAATGAGTGATGTTAAACCTTCTCTGTTTGAACCGGAGTGGGTTGAAAAATGTTTTTTGTGCACAAAAGTGTTTGTGCAGATTCTGCTAACAGATGCTAACCCAGATGAAGATCTCCAGGTTCCAATTTTTTTTTTTCCCAGCTTTTACTGTCATAGATACAGAGCAATGAACTGAACTCTCTGCATTTAGCCCATCCCCTTGGGAAGCAGTGGGCTGCCATTGTGGAGCGGCGTGGGGTTTAGGGTCTTTGCTTAGTGAGCCGAAGTGGCAGTCTGTGGGGTGGGGCTTGAACTCAGAACCTAAGGATTCCAAGCTCTAAGCCCTAACCACTATGCCACCACTCCCCTGCACTTATTACAGTTAGCATTAAGATTAAAACATTTTCTCAGGTATATGATGAGGATGGGCTGCTCAGTGAAGCATTGGATAGCACTGCTGCCTTGCAAATCCCAGCCCGGTGTCTTTCTGCAAGGAGTTTGCATGTTTTCCCTGAGCATGCATGGGTTCTCTCATGGTACTCTGGTTTCCTCCCACAGTCCAAAGACATGACCGTTGGGTTACTTGGCTTCTCTAAATTCTCCTCAGGTGTGATTGTGTGTGTGAATGGTTGTTTGTCCCTTTTGTCTCTGCTTTGCCCTGCGAGAACTGGAGAACTCTGTTTAGGGTGGACCCCGCCTCACGCCTCTAGACTGCTGGCAAAAGACACCAGAACCCCTCGCCAGCCCAGCTGGGATAAGCGTGACAAAATGGATGGTTGATGAGGACAAGGACTAGAAGGTTCTTCACTGTCACTCACTGTCAATACAAAGGTGTTCATTATCTTCAGATTTAATTTCAATTTCACATTTGCTTCTACTAATGGCAGTGGCAAGCAGTGCATATCGTATCTATATATATATATTAGGGGTGGAACGGTTCACAAAATCCACGGTTCGGTTCACAGTTTCGTGGTCACGGTTTTCGTTTCGGTTCGGTATATGTTGATTGTTCCCCCAAAATCCAAAAAAATGTATGAATTGTAATTATTTTTTAATGATCCGAGGAAACCCTGGATCATTTCCGCATGTTTTGCTGCTTTGAATTTAATCATCTGGCGCATGCCCTCTATGATCTCCAAGGAACTCAGAGCGGAGCAGACGGGAGCCACAGTGGAGGCTGTAGGCTTTGCTTTGAGCAGGCGGTCTGGAGCGCAGCGGGGCGCTGACGGAGTATGAGGGATTTCGGGGTTAGCAATGCATGACATGTTGGTCATGTTGCTGTTAGCATAAACAAAACGTGTTGCACAATGCTTGCACACTGTTGCACTTTTATCCACAACTTTCTTTCCGCTGTC